TATCGGCCAGAAGCGAACTACAGCCTACAGAGCGTCCGCTAGCAGCTCGCACGCATACCGAGGATATTCTAAGCATATGGGTGATGTGCGGAGCGACGAACGTTGAGTCGTCGAGTTCAGTGCGTGCTTATTCAGCCACCGAGGACGGGTCGCCATATGCACGATCCCGCACCCGCGACATACCCGCGACAGCGGCAAGATCTGCACAGCACCGCTGCGCGAGGACAGCGGCTGTCGCTGCTACCACGTCTCATCCCGGAAATTGCGGTCGATGACAGAAACAACCTCTTTAGCCTAATTCTATGATATTACGGAGTGATGCTGTGTTGTGCCATGCAGCGCGTCAGCAACACGTCAGAAGCACACTATAAAGGTCGCTCGTACTGACCATTGCACCTCAGCTCGGCCCCAGCACCGTCATGAGCTTACCGATTCGAAGACTGGTGAGTCGCCAACGCGTGATCTTCCCCAATCGCCATTCAAGCTAACCACTTTGCCAGTCTCGACTATGGTCCAAAGGCTATGGCCCATGATCTACGGGGCAAGCCTGAGTCAACGTTATAACAACGACCTCTGGCAGTCTTCCGTCAACCGTACATCCAATGCAGATAATAACAACACCTGGGTTCCAGAGGCATCGCAGCGATACGCAAGGTACGTCCACGGTCCTCGCCCGATCCTTTAGCTCGTTCTCATAGTCTTGTCTTCGTACGTTGCAGACTTGCGCTCCTGCAGAGGAATGGGACCCTGTCACGAGTCCGACGCGCAGTGAACCCAACCTCATCCTCTCCCCACCTTCCACCTATACACCGAACACCCGTCTCCCACTCCCTCTTAGCCATAATCGCGGAGTAGGAGGACCCACCATCTATTTCGCCGACCCTCGACCTCAGTACAGGCCGCAGGACGACAGTAGTCCCCGTACATCCAATGCAGATAATTACACCACCTAGGGTCCGCGAGGTTCCGCCGCGGGGGTTCTCAGCAGGAGAGCTCGCCCGACGCCAGAGTACGTCTACGGTCCTCGCTCGATCCACTCGCCCGTTCTCACGGTCTTGGCTTCGTGCGTTGCAGACTTGCGCTGCATGGGCCTTGTCACGAGCCTTGGCTCATGTCCCGGCTTCACGCGCAGTAAACCCGGCCCTCACCCCACCCTCCCTCTCCACCCCGCCACCCACCGCGGAGTAGGAAGAACCACCATCTAGTCCGCCGACCTTCGCCCTCAGTACAGGCTGCGGGACCACGCTGGTCCACGCGACAGCTTAGGAACGGGTACCTACTGAATTAATTGAATAATCATCAGCGATTCATTCCGTTTCTGTTGAGCTGCTCACGGTCGAAGCTGGTAGAACCCGCAATGTAAAACCCCATTGAGTTCCGGGCCTGCTTCATGGGTGTCACTGACTCGGAGGCTGTAAGCTGTAGGCTCCCATACTGAGTTGTCCGAAGCAGCTGGATCGCTGCACCACGTCGGGTGTTTTAGTCACCCACGAATTCCCGGACCAGGGAAGTGTGGTGTTGCTTGTACCAGCGAGAGGGCTGCCTCTTCTTCTAGTCAAGCTTGGATGACCGCACGAGGACAGCAGTCTCATTATCTTGACCCTTGTCAGGTTATCTGCGGGTCACGCCGTTGGTGAAAGTAAGCGTAGATGCGGTCGTGCACTCGTCATCCAGCCAAGCATAGCCACCCTGAACGTCCCCGAACGTCGTTCTGGCTCTGGAAGATATGCCACCAAGAAGGAAGCGAATCACATTACCGGTATGCAGTTCCTACACCCACATACAAGTGCTCGTCCTTCCACTAGTCCTACACTCGTCCAACGTTCCGTTCCAGGTCCGATCTTCTGCTTCGCCCAGTACTCCGCTCTACAGGTTCGCCTTCCCGACCGACCATCCAACCTAAGCACACCCGCAATCCGGTCAGCACACGTCCCTGATCGCCCCAACCCCGTAAACATGCCCACGCACCTTCACATACGTCTCCACCGGCTCCGCCGCGCCCGAGTTCTTCACGAGGTCCTCGTCAAACGCGACGAGCCCCGCAGGGAAGAGACACACGACCGTGCTCCCGCCGTACGCGAAGAAGCCGAGCTCGTCCCCGCGCGCGACCGTACTGCCCTTCTGCGCGCCGCCCGTCCACTTGATCGAGCCGACCTGTGGCCAGTGACCGCGTGAGTTCACCTGGATTAGGGGAAAGGAAGAGGGGACGCACGAGCATGGCACCGATGGCGACGAACGCGACCTGCTTACCGGACGCGGTGTGCGTGAGATAGAGCACGGAGCGCTTGTTCGCGGTAAAGACGTCGAATCCGGGCTCGTTCACCGCCTGCGGGTTCACTGCGCACTCGTCAGCATCGTCTATTCAGCGCCCCGGGAGGGGAGGGAAAAGAGGGCGACGCACCAGTGTAGTATTGGCCGGGGATATCAGTGGTCTCGCCGACGGTGCCGTCGAGCGGGCTGTGGAAGCGGTGGTAATCCGCGGGGGCGAGCCGGAAGCACGCGACACCGGCGCCCTCGAACGCGCGCGCCTGCTCCGAGTCGTCCGGGACGCCGAGGAGGTGCGGGATCGTGAACTCGTTGCCCTTGATCCTGCGCGCGGCGTTGCGGGTCAGCATGAAGTCTGGAGAGAGCCTGAGGGCGCGGATCGACGTACCAGAGCTTTGTCGCGAGGTCGACGGAGGGGTAGACGACGAGCCTGCAGTCGGCCGCGCTGCAGATTGCGCCGGGGACGTCAGCGTTCTGGACGGGGCGCGCGCCGGGCTTGATGTGGCGGTAGAAGAAGTCGTTCATGGTGCGGTACTTGGTCGGGTCGGGCTCGAGGAGCTCGTCGAGCGCGATGGTGTAGGTTTCGATGAAGGAGGGGATGTTCTTGACGGACTCGGGCGAGTCGTAGATGCGGCCTTGCTGTTGATGCGAGTGAGTGGAGTCTGCAGAACAGTGAGGGGAGGATGCGTACCCGGACGGAGAGCTCTTCGAGGATGGACTCAATGTCCTTGTTGTGCAGGATCTTGCGCTGCTCTCCACCGTAAAACAACAAATGCATACCAAGCCTACATCCTTGTTTCAGTGCGTAAAGCGTGTCAGCAGGGCCGAGACGGACCTCGGGTAGATGGGCATGCTCTCCCAGAATCGCTGCCCCGTCTGGCGATCGTACACGTAGTTCCCTACATGATACTCAGTGGCGAGCTTCTCGAGCCCGGGGATGAGCTTGTGAACGAAGGGGAGCTGGGCGAGCTTGTGCATGGGCGCGTGGATGCCATGGCGGACGTCGGTGTGCTTCGCGGACTGGTCGACGAGCTTGCTGAGGGACTCTGCGACGACGGAGGGGTCCTGGGTGTGGGCAGGGAGGTTGGTGGCAGTGATGGCCTGCTTGGGCTTCATGTCTGCTTCGTGGAGGGGGAGCGACGCCATGGGTTGCGGATAAGCGGCAGGCGGTGCGATGGGATGTCTGTATCACGCTGAGGGTATAAATAGGCCAGCGCGTGCCTTTGAGGTCATGGGACCCTAACCCCAGCTTATGACCAGGTACGAACCCTCCATGGCACCTCTCCATCCGCTGCCAGCCTCTCCATCGCTCTCCCCTGTCTCTGTCTCCGCAGCAAGCCACGACTCACATGGGAACATTGCCATGTGAAACGGGATCCAAACGGAATGAGCTGCAGACAGGACAGACAGCTTCTAGTATGCGTCGAGATCGATACACCATGACGCACCAAGGCACGAAGACTCAATGAAACTCGCGTCAGATTCAAAAGACGCACGCCAGTCAGGCATAACCCGTGTCAGAGCCTGAGGTAAAGCGTGCGCGGCAGCGAATCACACACCAACTACCGCCTTGCGCAGGTCGGTCGAAGAGTCGTGGATGGACGAGAGGCTTGAAGGGAGAGAGGACAGTGGAGAGTTGGGGTTCTGCGGCAGAGTAACGAGGTCGACACTTACTTAGCAGCGAGCGAGCGACTGTTGTGACTCGGTGACACAGCGTTCACCCGATTCTCTAAAGGCACGCAGACGACGCGGCGTCGACTTGAGGGCGTGAACTTGAGCCCGCGTAGAGTGGAGGCCCGAGCGATGTGCGCGAGGAGAGGACGAACGAGAGCGTCGAGAGAGGGGGGTTCGATAGAGATTTGGGCGACACGGCCCAGTATAAGTACACAGACGATATTCTGGAACAGCGAGAATCGAACATATTGACAGAAGGAAAGATAGAAGAGCGGCGACGTTCGAAAACGAACAGTGACGTCGTCGAATGGAGGTGGAGGTGGACGAGAAGCGTGACGATCGAGACGTGAGGTGATAGTTGAAAAGAGAGCCAGGAGGAACCAGGCTTGACAGAGAAGGAAGGCATGTTAATACCCGAAAAGGAATGTATCGTAAATAGCACCATTCGCGAGCTGCCACCCGAGTCGTGCCGAGAGTATGTACGGTCGAAGGGGACTCAAGGGACGGCCGTCATCCGGACGGGTGCTCAAGCGCTCAAGCTCACACTGGGGACAAACCGGCTTGTGCGGAACCCTAACATTGTACATCCAGAGATTTACCGTCGGCTGGCGGGGGCGCTAAGCGGACGGCCTCGTATGGTAAGTCCACACGATCACTCGCACGATCACACCCGCGATCTCGCGTGCGCACACCGGCGCCACACCGTCCCAAACCGGCCCCCACTCCGGGCTCCTTCCTTTTGCGGTCACTGCCCGGTCACCGCCTTCCGGCGTACGCGCACGCACGACGCGTCGACGCACGCACGACGTCGACGCGTCGTGCGTGCGCGTAGGGTCGTCGCTCTCTCACCTCGCCGTTTGCGTGTTCACGCTCGCGTTTTTGCACGTCGATGTGCTCTATACAGGGAGAGTGTGTGATCCATTATGGGGGTTGTTACGGTACACTATTGCGCGGTGCAGTAGCCAGTGGTACGATGCACGCTATCATAGCCATCAGAGGTAGTGTAGAACGAGAATGTATATGGAAGTATGAATGTTCTCGGGAGGGAAACGTGCACAATATTAATCCACAGTCGCTGCACGGCGGCGGCGCTCATCGGGGTCACCGTTCTTGCTCTTGCGCTCGACGCGATCACCACGCATTCGTCGCGCTTCATTTATTGTTTTCAGTAGCACGGTGACCCCCTTCTCAGCTTCGGGGTATGCATGTAAGAAGGCATGATCATTGCGGGCGAACCTTTCAGTAGCAACCAGTATACTAATGATTTAGCTCGTGTACGTGAGTCGGAAACTACGGATGCACGCACCGCTGAATAAACTCTTCCGCTATGACCTTTCGCTGCTGGTACTTTGCTGCATACCGTGTCTTGTTCTCGCCCGTAAGCCATTCTCTCGGCCATTCTCGCAGCGGCATGACCTTGATGGATGGAATTCCAACATCCCAGAGCTCGATTACATCTCGCCACGCATTCGCCTTGTCTCTCTTCCCATCACGCAATATGGGGATATTGAGCACACGTGCATCAGGTGGCGGCAGACTCGGTGCGAGCGGCTGGATACCCACTCCGTCACCGAGTACAGGGAGCGAGTGTGACCTAGTATGCAGCAAGGGAGTGACTGATGAGCCCGATGACTCAGAGCTGGGAGCAAGAGGATACGATGCGGGGCTGAGACGAGTCTGCCGGATGCCAGTGGGAATTGATGGTTCCGAGTTACTAGGCAGTAGGTGATGCGGTGGATGCAGTGGCGAGTCTCTCAGAGAGGCGAGGTTCGGAGTCTGCCAGTAGGGCCCTTGTGCCAGTGCGATGTTCTGTATTGGCAAAGGTGGGACCGTGAGCCGCGAGACTGATGCTGCTGCCGGATCTGGACTTGATGCATGTGACACTTGGGTCGTAATTGGCCATGGTGCGGGAGCCTGAGCCTGAGGGGGTGCGCGGCTAGCCTGAGAATGATACAGCTCGCTCGTTGCGAGTGTCCCAATCCTCATATGCTGGGACATCATGCGGAGTGCACCTGATCGGCGCCGCCGGTGAGTGGTTAGTCCAAACGATCGTATGCGATGATAGACTGAACTCACCCGGGTATGATAGAGAAGGATGGACGTGACCAATCAGATCCGAGTCTTGCGACATCGCCTGCATCGCCTGAGGTGGAACAGCCCATGCGAGTGCTGTCGCAACCATCGATGTTATGTCTTGTTGGATGGACAACAGGCTGTTCCGGAACAGGTCCTCGACATCTGCTGCCTCCACCTTCACTGCCTTTTCAGTGTCATTCCTCCGGTCAGTGACTGTTGCTGTTGGCTGGAGAGCGTCGATATGGGATTCTTCGTACATGTACAACTCATCCAGTAGATACCGAATGAGTGTGTCACGCTGACATGATCATGGGTTTAGATGAGACTCTTGGTCATGCATGCGCGCACTCACATGTTCGCCCTTTGCCCATCCTCCCCACCATCGAACACGTGCTAGCGTCCATCTCTCCTCAGCAGGAGCGAGCATGAAGCGGAACTGCGCTCCCCCGCGCCGGAACGTGTGAGTCGTGAAGTTTCCGTTTACCTTCTGTGCGATCCCGGCAGCTGATGTGAATTGATCCAAGAGCCTCTGGACTGTGTCGTGAGAGACCGGGAGATGCGGTTGAATGATCCCGTTCGGACCGATGACGGGGAACAAATACTCTTCGTCGCACAGCGGGCGGAAATAGTGAAAGCGCTCCAGATAATTAAGCCACAGAGGTAGGTGATGGAACATATTCGCCGCTGAGAGGTGAGGCTGATTGTAGATATGAAAGGTATTGCCTTCACGCGTAGCGCATATGTCAAATGTCAGACCGAGTTATCATTGATAGTAACCTCAGTACATACCTTCTAACTCGGTTTCTAGCTCGCCATTCTTGTCCAGCTTGCGCTGCCAACCTTTCCGGTCAGTCACTTCAATCTTGAAGAACGGCTGACAGAGCGGTGCCGGGCTCGTATGCCCTGGCCGGTAATGTTTACGCTTCAATCCGGCGGTCTCGAAGTTGCTGACACAAAGTGATTTGTCAGCCAAACCATGCTTAGATGCGGGGCTTAGGCAATCATCATACCGTGTCCAGATGGTCCACCCCGTCGAAGCAAAAGCACGAAAGAACAGGTGCATTGTGACCTTTGCTCGGTGCACTACGTCTCTCGGAGTAACCATGGCTTCTGCAGGAGGACATTCGGTCTCTGACCACTCGATGATCGCCTTCAAATAATCATATCGCATTGCGACCGAGTGAGTCCGCTCTCCGCCGTCCGCGTTTGCTTTGTTCTTGATTGCCTTCAGGATGTCACGAACTTCTGCGCATGTCGCGGGATTTCCAACCCAGCGGCTACGATGCTCGTCGAAACGCCATTCTCCTCGGTACAGATCGCCTTCGCTAGTGGGTAGTACATCAATAAGATTAAATCGTGCGTGCAAATGGTTCAGCGAGTTGTTGAGAATGACCTACTATTCTTCCCAGTACTTCTTGGCAGCAGCATGTGCACCCTCTGCTGTCGAGACGCCACGCTTCTCGTGGAGGCACTTGAATGTGATAAACAGTGCAAGTGCCTCTCCCGAGCACTGCTTCGGAGGCCCCGAAAATGCTTCAGGGAACTCCGGATCAGCACCCATTGCAGCGTCCGTAAGGTCCTTCGCAATAGGTCGTGCACTAGTAGTCCCACTGATATCGCCTGTCTGTCCATTTGACAGGCTATAACTGGCTGCCCAGTTCCGCATCCGGACGAGGTAACTTGCATAGCCATCGCGAGTGCTCTTCGTGTGCTTATGTGTCTTCCCTGCTTCCTTTGTAGCCCGGAGAATTTCAAGGCCAACAGGAGGGGTGTCAGCCGCAGTGGTCTTTGCCTTCGAAGAACGCTTTCGTGGAGAGGATGATGGACCTGAAGCTGGGAACGGCACTGCTACAGATGCTGACCGCTCAGGTTTTGCTCGAGGCATCTCAGTCGTAGGATAGGCAAGAGGAAGGTGTCGTCAGCGGATGCGAGTTGAGATGGGTACGACCCTCAGGCTACCTCGAACCCCCGATCAGGGTCCATTGCGATCCTGACCAGCTTCCATATTTGACACTCACCGCGCCGCTCCCCGAGTCTGTGTAGTGTTTCATGACATCCATACGTAGCTTTTTGTGTTTCATCATCTCGTGTGTACATACATTCTCAGAGGCTGCATCAATCTCAAATAGATACCTCCACCGTTCAACAACCTGTTGGCCTACTACTCTCGCAAGACCTCTCACCAGTCATGCCTTCCTGTATGCCAATTCTATTCAATAAGACGGGTGTCGGCAACACCGTGACATCCCTTATGTGCGAGTTCCCCAAGCTGACCAGGGACAGCCTCGAGCCGAACGTGCTCGACGACGATGCTATACCATCTACTGCAGGGATCGGCGTGACAACACTCGGAGCCCGCGAGGCAGATACCGCCCGCGAGGCAGATACCGCAGGTGGAACCCTGTTGTTCTTCGACGGCTTGAGCAGCTGAAAGACGAAGGGCGCATCGAGCGCTGGTGTCGGCGTATTTGTGCGCTTGTGGGCAGGACGTGGCACGAATGCCTCCACAGGCTTCTTCGGCAAGACTTGCCAATCGAGCTCGGACGAAGGGGTGATTTGCTGACCCAGAAATCTTCTGACGTCTGTGACCTGCTGCGCCGAAGGAGGGACCGAAGGAGGGAAATTCTTGTTCGTCGACGGTGCACTCACTGGAGGGCTGCCTCCATTAGCAGGACACCGACCAGGCAACAGAGCGGTGAACCTCCGTTCGGGCTCCCCGGCGCAGCGCTGCCGTAGCCTCCAAGTCAAGGCAGTTTATGAGCGACGCAAGATCGTTTGTTGCAGCATTCAGCGTGGAAAGCATACCTAGTAGTTACGATCGCAGTCAGTGCTTGCACGCAATAGAAGCTCAAGTACGCTCACCCTCAGGATCCTCGACTATCGGCTGGGGCCTTGGTCTACCGAGCATCTGCTCGGACACTGGCCTTGGACGCGCCCTCTTAGCTGGCGTCTCAGATGCTACACTGTCTGCGCCGTCCGAATGGCCATCAGATGTCGCCAACTCCACGTTGACGACCGGCCTCTCAAACACACTCGCCTGTCCACCACCCTTGGTGGAACCCGCTGAAGACGTCGACACCGGCCTGCTCTTCTGACCCTGGGTCTCCGGGAAAATGTCCACGATGGCCACACGCCGCCTTCCGTCACTGGTACGCCTGCTCTCGCGGGGCCGTGCGCTGTCGCTACTCTTCCTCTCAAGTCGCTGGAGCTCCCGCGAACTTCGGATGCCTTCATCATCCCAGCGCACGCTCGCGACGCTGCTTGACGACGAGCTCTTGCTACGCTCGCTGATTGCGCTTGCCGTAGATGGCGGTCAGAGCGACGAGCCGCTGGATATGATAGACGTCGGCCGGCCCTGTGTGTTCATGATGAGGTGTGCTGAATCCACCGAAAGCCTCGAGGGTGCCTGAGGTTGTCCAACCTCTGCAGAACCCGTCGAAGATGTGTTCGAGACCTTGCGCATGGTATCAGTAGCAGTGGCAGTCGTTAGGCGCATTGTGGATGGCAGGCCCAGTCCAAGCGTGGATTGCTTCTTGCGACCAAGGGTCTTCGCATCTTCGCGCAGCGGCGGTAATGACCTCGCCTGCGTGCTGAGGGCGCCTGCCTCGAAGCTGCTGCTCGAGTAGCGCAGAGTCGACTGCTTCGTCTCCTCCTTCTCCCTCCGCTTCACCAATCCCTTCTCCTCTTTCTTCTTCTCCTCGTCCTTCTTCTTCCCCTTCTTCTTCTTGCCCGCATCGCTCGTCTCCTTCATCTTCTTCGGGGCAGCCGCCTTGGTGCCGGGCTCCGCATTCCCCTGCTCGCCGTTGTTCGTCAGCTGCGCCCAGCTAGCCATCCGAGCGAGGGAGCGCATCGACTTGATTGCACGTACGGCGATCGAGACCGTAGCGGGATTCGGCTCGGGCGCTCGCAGGCCGTTGCTACACTTCGGTGCTTGGGATGTCGACGTCGTGGTGCAGTCCCGAGGGGGCTTGACAAAAACGGTTTGTACGGGCTGCTCCGGCGCGGGGGTCGAGCATGATACCCAAGTTGAACGAGTTGAATCGTGCGCGGGACTGAGGGCTGCAACGAAAGCGTTAGTCTGACCACACCAACCGTAAGTACCAAACCACTCACGACATCAGAGGAATCCTTGTTCACCTTGGACTTGGACTGAGCCAGCGACACCCGCGAGCAGCCCTAGTTTGGACTTCTTCGGCACGAGCTGCTTGCATGGGGTCCCGGACGGAGGGCGTGGGGCAAGAGGAGACAACGTCGTGAAGGGTGTGATAGATGAGAGTGAGGTGCTGCCACTGGCGTCGGCGGCCGAGCTCGTCACGGACGGGGTCACAGAGAATCAGTTGAATGGTGGGAACGACTTGCGGACGCGTGGCGGTCGGAGGTCTAAGGTGCACAGCAGACGACGAAGAGGAAGGGGCCGGTGGACGAGACAAGAAGGGCAACGTGTCATGCATGTTGCTTTTGCTTGTTCTTGTGAGTCGTCGTGAGTACAAGAACAAGCGGACTCACCGATACCCGGACTGACGTGGACATCGACCGCAACCCGGGAGTGAGCTGGCAGGCCGCCGGGTAGTGCTCGGCAGTGTCGATCAGTGTGACAGTGGCGGCGGCGGCGCTGTGTTCAATAAAGAGGATTAAGTGTGTAAAGTGCGACGTACGCTTTATTTTACTCGGCCCGAGTAAATCTGGTAAATTTCCTGGCCCGTGCGTGGGTCTTTGGTAAATCTGCGGGGCAACAGAAGGACACCGAGGGCACGTTCCTTGATACTCCGTGATCTGTGGGTCCATGATCTGCGAACCTCAGGGTCAATTTCGGCAACCGTGTCATGATGTAATGATTGGCCACGGGGATCGAGAAAGCAGAAACACCGCGGCCAGACATCACGACATTGCACTGAAGGAGATTGATACATTTGCTCACTTCGTTGTCCTAGTGCCGTGTGTCTGCTTCCAGACACCAACACCGATGGCTGATTCTCGGGTGTGGATGTGCACCCTGGCATCAGCGTAAGTTCGAGAGTTGGAGTACGTCAAACGCAAGTGTACGCACGCACGTCGCGCTCGCGTCGAGAGCATGAGACGGCCCCGAGCGTAGGGGACTCGGGTGAGGACGGCGGTGGTCGAGATGGCGGTGAGTACACAGTAGGCATGCGCGTCACATCGGTGTGTGCCTCAGCGCCGGAAGACACCAGAAAGCAGAGAGAGAGCGCGCGAGACGAGCACAAGCCCAAGACTTGCACGCGTTTGAAACGAGGACACCGACGCGAAGGACGCGTCGCGTCGCGGTGCGCGTGCGGACTGAGATCGGAGAAGGTGCTGACTCAGCACCGGTCCCCGATGCGGCAAGATCCCGCGAGATCGTGGCTTCCCGGCGATTTACTGGATTTACCCGGCACGCGTAAGTACCATACGAGGCCGTCCGCTTAGCGCCCCCGCCAGCCGACGGTAAATCTCTGGATGTAAGTTGCCATCGTAAAACCGTGTATATTAGGTGGAATACCAAAAATAACATATGGAAGGGAGCCTAACATTGAAAGGCGCGGCCTCTGATTGGCTGGCTTTCGATGTTAGGGATGAGAAAATTAGTTATGTTCAATTATCTACCTAATATACACGGTTTTACGATGGTAACTTACAATGTTAGGGTTCCGCACAAGCCAGTTTGTCCCCAGTGTCAACGCTTCGCTGGACTCTCGTACGACCAAATCCACTACTTCAGGATTTCCTTAGATCTCATCGTCGTCACAACCGCACATCAGAGTCTTTCAATCCAGAAACAATATTCAACAAGTTCAAAACGTACATTTCGACCGACGCACGCCACTAGTCCTACACGTACCAACACAAGAAGAAACATGTCCATCGCTCACTGGTACGTCAAGCCGCTGATACTCTGCCAAAGCCTGCGCACACCGACACCACCACATCAGCCACTGACCGCATCACACATCAAGAAACGAAATAAACACTCACGCGCATCGCTCGAGCAGCGCCGGGTCCGTCGTCGTCGTCTGCACGACGGGCTCGCCCGCGGCGGTAACGTTGAACAGCACCTCCGCCGTCCCGTTCTGCCACACGGCCCACGCGGGCTTCAGGTCCGGCACGGCCTTGTCGTTCGGGTCGAGCGAGCTCACGACGGACATGAACGACTGCGAGAATGACGTGATCAGCTCCGAGTTGTTGTACGCCGGCGGGTTGGAGCTGCGTCGGGTCAGCGGGTGAACGGACGGCAGGGCGACGGAGCGTACGTGGGGAAGTAGTATTGTACGTCCTGTCCGTGGATGGCAGGCGGCACTGCGAACTCGCCCTAGGTCGGAAACGATGAGAAACGGCTTAGAAGCGCTATGGATGGGAAGTGTGGCACCTTGTATGCGTTATCTCCAAACGCTTCCAGAAGCAGATACGTCGGGCAGATGAAGATCGCTATGTCCAACGTCAGCCTGACAAGCAGCCAACACCGTACACCCAGTACACGTACACTCTCCCATGATACCAATGGCCTGCGCCAGAGTGTCGTTCAGCGCGGGGTCGCTCGTGTACTGCTCGACGATCGTCTGAATGATCGTCTGGTCGATCAGCGGGAAGAGCTGCGTGACATAGTCCGTGATGTTCGTCGGCGGCGTGGTCGTGTCGACGAAGTTGTACCCCTCGAACGAATTCGTGACCGAGAGGAGCACATTCTGCCTCGGACGTCAGCAAGCACCTATCAGGTTCGGAGGAAGGAGGACGCGCTTACGCCGTTGACGCGCCGCTTCTCGAGCGTCACGGTGGGCCGCTCGACGATGAATGTTCCGTCGACCACGGGGACGAAGACGTAGGTACCATAGAAGTCCGCGTAGTTGATTGCTGTATTGGCGGCTTGGAGAGCGGAGGCGGAGGCGGAGCGCAGACACTCGAGCGCGCCGGAAGCAGACGAGCAGCTGGATTCGACTGGGTCAGCCTAGGTCGCGGTTGCACGTTCGGTGAAGACTCACTTAGTTTGTGCCACCGTCTCAGAGAATATCTCCTGTATGGTGCGTGATGACCGGTGAGCCGGAGCACGTGAAGCGAATCGCAAGAAGCGTACCTCGGGGATGGTGTCGTTGTAGTAGTACTGGAACGGCAGGAACGTCGAGCTAGTCATAGCAGCACGGAAGAGCGGAGGCTCTGTCTGCCCGCCGTGTGCTACGATGTGTTGCATAACGGAGCCAGCACCTATCGTCACTGCTGAGCCCTTGCCAACACTAAGCTTAGAGCAGAATATTACTCGCCTGCCGATTCACCCCAGATCGTAACCTTTGCCGGATCACCGCCAAAGGACGAAATCTGTATTTCCATTCAGCATCAGGGTAGGTAAGCGTGAAGAGATCAGCAGCTAACGTGTTCCTGGACCCATTGCAACGCAAAGTTCTGGTCGACTGCCACGAACCCGTAAGAACCACGCGCGTCAGGCGCCTAACCCGAGGATGCACTCACGGAGACCCGCGTTGAGCGAACCGTTCGCCTTTACCTCGGAGCCTGGGAGGAAGCCGAAGACACCCAGCCTATACTGAATAGCAACAGCGATGACTCCGTAGTCGGACTCCTTGACGAGGTCTTGGCCGGAGTATATGCTTGCCGACCCGGCGATGTACCTGCGCGTCGTGCACTCAGTTGTCGAACTCTGTGAACATTGCAGACGAAGCCATACCCTCCGCCGTGGATCCAGACAACGACCGGCAGAGCCGCACCCGGCTGCAATTGTCCCGGGGTGTAAACACTGATAGAGTCAGGCGTGAGTCCGTACTATATCAGGGCCAGACGAAGTGCGCACTTCAGGAAGAGACAGTCTTCGTCCTGGGAGGCGGCTCTCTTCTGGAGGGATGACGGTCTGTAGGGGTTCGTACTGTTACCACCATACGCCGCCTGGTAGCATTGGTTAGGCGTCTCTGTTGCTTGCTGTACACCGGTAGTTGTCGCCGGCGTCTGCGGCGCCTGCCAGCGCAGTTCCCCTGATGAGAGCGTCAGCACTGAAGTACACCGCGGACTGTCTGCACTCACCAGTGGGGGCCTGTGCGAAGCGAATACCGAAGAAGTAGGAAATGTTTGCATCGGGGTCGTACGTTCCCTGATATTGAGAATACCCGAGGTCTACGACAGGGGTCGACACATTGGCCCATCGACCCTCGAGAGACGCAGAGGGCGAAGCCGTGACGAGCTTCGCGACTGCGAGGAGGTTCAACACGCTAGCGAACCCTACGATCATGGCAGCAAGATCCGGTGGACTTCCCTTCCAACGAAGGCAAAGGGGAGGAGGGCGTGCATCAAGTCGGAGAATTTATATACGTTGGTCGACGCAGTGTTCACAGCGCTGATCACACCCACAACGCTGGGCAAATAGGATTGGAGCTAACGGGCAAGTTGGCCGACGGAAAGGGGGCGGCCGTCAGATGAGCGAACTATGTTCGGGAGCATGGGACGCACCGCGCATCGAAGGCTTGCACTAACGGCAGTGCCGGAAATAGCGGACCGCTTACGAACCTCGGTCATTAGTTATCCTGGAGTCGAGACTGATCTGCACTAGAGGCATAGGTATGATGACCTCGCGATGTGAACTTCATGGCGCTGCTACTGTGCCGGCGGTACATTAGACACAACTCAAACTGCGAAACATCAACAGTGGTACGAGTTCGACAGATGTTCCGAAGCGATATCATGGTTCGAGAACGCCGAAGGCAAGGAATGCTTCCTGAAAACTCACAAAGACCAGAAATATTCCCACTCGACATTTCTCCGCCAAGGACCGGCGTGTGTGCAGCGACGCTGGACACGTGCGACGCCCACGGGGTTGCACCCTGAGTCACCAGTCGTTTCAGCGCACAAGTGCAGAGAGGGGTGCAAAGTCGCAGGCGACGGTGGCCATTCAGTAGTAGTCCCGGCTTCGTCTGCTTGGTGGCAAGTCCAGCGCAGGTGGTTCGGTCATTGCTCAGGCACCGATCGGGTCGGCCTGGATACTCTGTAAACATCGATGCGTAATGGCCTCCTGTGCAATCAACGAAAGTCATGCACATATCATGGGCGACGTTGCACATGATACTCACCAGAAATCGTGAAAATATGACCAATCACGGCGCTGTTATGACCTCGGTCGCAACTTGTAGGGGGAGGCCAGCGAAGGCTTCATGCCATGCTGAACAGTCCTTTGAAGAATTGCACGTCAAAAGAGCTAGTCACAAACATGTGGCTGCAGCATTTATGTAACACG